TAAACCTGTACAGCATTTATTAATAGAATGTTCATAATTCATAATTCATAATCATAATTCAACATTTACTAATTATTGCATTGTTCAAATTCATGTTTATTAATATTAGTTAATGTACTGAGTTAAACAATAAGCAACTGTATTTTCATTACCTAACATTGACAAAGATGAATAAATACTTTAATAAATGTGTCGTTCTTTGTTTGTTATTAATACAACCCTACTGTAAAGAGAGTTAGCGCTATATTTACTTCAAAATAAAAAACTTCAAACTACTTTTATAAAATGAGCCGATTCAACACAATTCTTGAGTTTTTTGGGGGCAACTTAATTGTTTTATGTTTAATCTTAAATTTATAAAAAATAAAAGGCTTAATTCCTTCATGTTGTCCCAACACAAATCGATTGTGTGGAACCCAGCATTTTTAACACTGGAGGAATCAAAATGCATCGGTTTAAAGAAATCTTATCATTTGCTATTTAGTGACGATGCATATTTTAAAATTTTAATAGTTAATAATTTAAAATTAATAATAAAGTAATAATAATAATATTAATAATAAAATGAATAATCATTTTAGATATATTGATCAGAGTTTATGATGTTTCATTAGTTAATGTATTTACTAACACAAACTAAGAATAATCTTGTACAGCATTTATTAATGCTTTATTAAAATACAAATTCATGCTTGTTACCATTAGTTAATGCACTGTGAGTTAACAAGTTTTTTTTATTAGTTAACGTTAACAAAGATAAATAAATACAGTAATAAATGTGTCGTTCTTTGCTTGTTATTAATACAACCATACTGTAAAGAGAGCTATCGCTATATATTTACTACAAAATGAAAACTAAACACTTTTTGCTGCTTGAAACTTCATACTCCATTCAAATGAGCCGATTCAACACAATTCTTGAGTTTTTTGGGGGACAACTTAATTGCTTTATGTTCAATCTACTTAAATTTGTAAAAACAATTACCTTGCTTCATCAATTTGAGTTGGGACAACATGAAGGAATCGTGAGGAACCCAGCATTTTTTACAGTGTAAAATAGGATACGACAACACATGTTTTTAGGTTACTTTAACTTATTTTAATAAGTTTAACTTAGTATTTTAGTCAGTTTTACTAATGCAAGTTGAGATGACTAGAACATTTCATTTGATTCAACTAAACAATTTAAAGCAGTACGTTTTTTAATAGATGCAACGTTTGTTATAATACAAAAAGATGCTGTTTTAAAAGTAAACGTGTGTGTGTGTGTGTGTGTGTGTGTGTGTGTGTGTGTGTGTGTGTGTGTGTGTGTGCGTGTGTGTGTAGTTTTGACAGTGATACAGTCAGATGTTTGGGCAGCATTTTCACTTTGTAAAAGAACAAACAGCCACGATGCTTCATTTTTTTCCTCTTTTCATCTGTTAGAGATAAATATATCTCCAAATGATACCTTATCCCAGTATGCTGACACTTTATTTATTTTTTTCAACTTCTCTTTAGTCTTTTATCACGTCAAGTCCAGCCGTCTGGAGTGTGTTTAAATACTCAGAGCTCAAAGTGAAGACGGACACACACTAAACTCTTCAATAATGGCCATGTTTGGAGGAGGTCGTGGGGCGAAAGGGGGAAAGTTCTCGGTGGAGGATCTGTACGGGATCAGCAAGAAGCCCAAACCCTCTTCAGCGGCAGCAATCAGCGCTGGGGCAAAAATAAATGCGCAGAACCGAGCGAAGGGGCAGAAAGGAGAGACGGACGCTCTGGCGTCGCAGATTCTGGAAGCGGCACACAGACTGGTGGAGCGCCGGCGTCTGGAGCTTTACCTCAGAGAGTGTGGCCTCAGCATCAATGACTGCCAGTCTGAGAGACACGCCATGCTGTACCGGTGAGTGTGTGTGTGTGTGTGGACGCCTTCTGGGAAATCTGCTCTCAGTGGTGTCAAAATGTCAGAGCCGATAAAGTCAGTGTGAAAGGATGATAAATGAAGGTGCAGGAAAATGGAAGTAGCAGAAGCAGGACCGAAGCTCAGATTGAAATATTAGACACACTCACTCAAAAAATGATTGTTCAAGCTACTTATAGTTGAAACCAGAAGTTTGCATACACTCTATAAGAAGGCACATATCCATTTTTTAAAAAGTCTGACGTTAATGTGACTAAACTTGCTCTCGTTTAGGTAAATTAGGATTATCACATTTGTTTCTGTTCTGCTTAATAGCAGAATAATGAGAGACAGATTTTTTTCGAGAAATTGTTATAACTTTTCTTGAAAGTCAAGTTTACCTACAATAAGATTATTCTGCCCCTGAAAAAGCTCAGATGATGCTGTTAAGGTTTTAGAAGTTTCTGATTGGCTAATTGACAACATTTGAGTTAATTGGAGGCACAACTGTAGAATAGTATTGAAGGAAAACCTCAAACACACTGCTTCCTTGTGTGACAACATTGGAAAATCAACAAGCCAGAATCAACAACAAAGCCAGATTACAATTGGCTAAATTACACAGGGAAAAATAATAATTGTTCGAGACATGTCCTGTGGTCTGATGGAACTAAGATTGAACTGTTTGGCCATAATGACCAGTGTTACACTTGGAGGAAAAGGGGAAAGCTTACAAGCCTAGAAACACCACCCCAACTGTGAAGTATGGGGGCGGCAGCATCATGTTGTGGGGCTGTTTTGCTCCAGGAGGGACTGGTCCACTTCACAGCATAGATGGCATCATGAAGAAAGAACATTATGTAGAAATACTGAAGCAACATCTCAAGACATCAGCCAGGAAATTAAAACTTGGCCACAAATGGGTCTTCCAAACAGACCATGAGCCTAAGCATACTGCCCAATTAGTTCAAATGTGCTTTAAGGACCACAGAGTGAATGTTTTGGAGTGGCCATCACAAAGCCCTGAACTCAATCCTATAGAAAATTTGTGGGCAGAGTTGAAAAAGCTTGTGCAAGCAAGACAATAAATCTGACTCAGTTACACCAATTCTGCCAGGAGGAATGGGCCAAAATTCCTGCAAACTATTGTGAGAAGCTTGTGGAAGGATACCCAAAACATTTGACCAAAGTTATACAGTTAAAAAGCAAAGCTAAAAATAAAACAAGGAAATGTAGTAAACTTTTGACTGTCTAGAAATTAATAAAAAATTCTCAAAAAAAATTCTCTCTTTATTCTTCATTGTGGCACTTAGCAAATGTAAGTGATTTGGGTAATCCTAACGGACCTAAAATATTAAACTTTTTAAAAAAAATGTTTTGTGTCTTTTTTTAGAGTGTATGTAAACTTCTGGTTTCAACTGTATTTAAAATGAGCTGAATCAACACAATTCTTGAGTTTTTTTTTTTGCTACAACTTAATCGTTTTATGTTCAATTCACTTAACTTTGTAAAAAAAACTAAACAATCTAGTCAACTTAATTAATTTGTGTTAGGAGAACATGAAGGAATTGTGTGGAACGCATCATTTTTTACAGTGCTAAAACATTATAAATTGGATTTACTCATTTTTTTAAGGTAAGTTGTTGCAAACAATTAATACGGGCTGAATTTAAACAAATAAATTACATTTAGCAATGTTCAACTTTGTTTGTTTAAACTCACCTCAAATATAATGTTCGCAGCCACTTATACCTTTAAATTATTTTGTAAACTCAAGGCATCATTGTTTTTAGTGTTTGTTCAGAGTTTGCTTGAAAGGGTATGTAGTGTTGAAAGGGCGCCTGTGATGAAAATCATCTTTTGTAAGCTGTTTGGACAGAACTATGTGTGTGTATAGTGTGTCCACAGTCATACTGGGGTAATATAAACACAGAAAGTAGCATTTTTTAAATGTCCTGACGTTTAATTCCAAATCCCTCCCATTTTGAGGCCCACCACAGCGTAATGTAGAAGTTCCCCTATACCACCGAATTGACTGACAGCTGCGTATTAACATCCGTAGTAACGTGTATAAACAAATCAACAAGACAGGATGTGTACAAGGCAACCAGGATTAAAAGATCTGTTCAGCGCTCTGTGATCATCAGTCATCATCAAATGTGATCACGGATGAGTTTCACAAGATTAAAACGTTTCTAAAACAGTGCATGTTTATAATGGATCACAGCGATTTTACCGTCTTCATCAGCACAGCTGCGTGTCAGTCCAACTATAAATGAAGACGCTTCAATCCCGGTTTGTGGACGTTAAATCAGATTTATTTTGTACAGTAACAGAACTGATATCCATAGAGCAGTGGATATTAACGTGTTTCCTGTCATAGTGGCGTGCAAAAACTGTGCAAAATTAAACATGCGCTGAGTGTGTGTGTGTCTGTGTGTGTGCATGAACTTTGTAACAACATTGTGTGTGACTCATCGCAGAAAGGCTTGAATTAACTCCACAACAAATACATCAAATAATAATTTTTAAGTGAAGGGCAAAGAATATACTCTTTTAAAGGTCTTTAAAATGAAATAACTCAACATAATTATAGGAGTCTGAGAAAAACAATAATTTTCGATGGAAATTTCAGACGGCACTTAAAGGTTTTTGTATCTGAACTCTTCATATTTATATATAAATAATTGTTATTGACATCTAACATTGGAGTAAAACACATTCAAATTGATTACAGAACATTATAATTGATTGTTGATGTTTTTTTACGCCAATTTTAAACGCTAGTTTTTACGCCAATTTTTTACACACATTATGGGGAAACAAAATCCAGTGTAAATTTGTTCATTGAAATTGAAGCTTTCGGATGATTAAAATGCTCTTATATAATATTGTCATTAATTTGGTGGTCAAAAAGGCATCAATATGTGAATGTCAACTGGACATCAAGGTTACAACATCAAATTGATGTAATTTTAACATCAAATAGTCAACTGAACCATATTTAAAAAATGATAGCATTTTTTACGTTTTTTTTCTTACATCAATATTAGATGTCAAACTGATGTAATTTTAACATCAAAGTAGTCAACCGAATCAAACTAATTAGGATTTTTGCATGTTTTTTTTTTTTTTTTACATCAATGTTAGAGGTCAGTTTGATGTCATTTTAACATCAAAATAGTCAACTGACATCAAATCATCAAATTGATGTAATTTTTACATTATAGTAGTCAACTGACATTAAATTGATTAGTATTATGACATGTTTTTTTTTTCTTACATCAATGTTAGACGTCAATTTGATGTAATTTTAACATAAAAGTAGTCAACTGACTTCAAATAGATTAGCATTTTGACATGTTTTTTTTCTTACATCAATGTTAGAGGTCAGTTTGATGTAACTTTAGCATCAAAATAGTCAACTGACAATAAATCAATTAGCATTTTTGACATGTTTTTTTCTTACATCAATGTTAAACATCAATTTGATGCTACTTTTACATTAGTCAACTGACATCAAATTGATTAGTATTTTGACATGTTTTTTTCTTACATCAATGAGGTCAGTTTGATGTAATTATATAAACATCAAAATAGTCAACTGACAATAAATCGATTAGCATTTTTGACATGTTTTTTTTCTTACATCAATGTTAAACACCAATTTGATGCAACTTTTACATTAAAGTAGTCAACTGACATCAAATCGATTAGTATTATGACATGTTTTTTTTTTCTTGCATCAATGTTAGAGGTCAGTTTGATGTAATTTTAACATCAAAATAGTCAACTGATATAAAAAAGATTAGCATTTTGACATGTTTTTTTCCTACATCAGTGTTAGAGGTCAGTTTGAAGTCATCTTTACATTACAGAAGTCAACTAACATCAAATCGATTAGTATTTTGACATGTTTTTTTGCAGTTTTTTATGTCATTTTGACATCAGGGTGCCCTCTGGGTAATAAATATGAATATTAGCACACATACAGCATGCTGCACCCTTGTCTGAAGTTTATAATACTTTCAGACTTGATCCTGCTATAATTGCACCACAAATCCCATCAGGCTGTTCTGCGTCCCCAGGTGATTGGTTCTGTGCAGGTTGCCATGGGAACTGCCGGCTGTGCAGGAGGTTTGCTGGTTTGAGGCACAGGGGCTTCAGTGTCCTCACACAGCCTAACAAATATGGTCATATCTAGTGTCAGGAGGTGAATTTTGACATCTCACTTCACAATACATCACACAAAACATCATATATAGATGCAAATGATTGTAAAGTAACGATTAACAGGCTGACTACTCCCTTTTTTTTGAGCATCCAGATTATCTCTAATTCCTGAAACTGTGTGTTTTTAGCTGTAGATTACAGCACACATTAGTTCTGGGAAGATGAAGATGGCGCACATGCAGGAAGCACAGGCTTATGTTCAGCGGCTTAAAGAGAAAAAATTACGAGAGAGGGCAATGATTAGCACGGGAAAATGAGTGACAGGGAGGAAAAAAATAATAAAAGGCACACAGAGGGAGAACAAAATGCTTGTCTGAGAGCATATACTGCTGGCTGAAGTGTGTATCTGCGTACGCTTTTATGTTTTTTGCGCATATTGTGTTTTCTCCAGATGGAAGCACTTAAAAGCACCGTCTCTCCAGGGGGGACAGCGATCTGTTTCCAGGTTTCGTCTTTTGAAAAGCGGATTCGTACTTCCATGAATAATTGACATGCAGTTCTCATTGCTGTCCACTGGAGGCCATGCAACAGATTTATTACAGGGAAAAAGCATAATGTGAGTTAAACTTGCTCTGTACAGAAATCCCTTCATTTGCTATTCCCTACATTAGTCCACCGATATAGCAGTGCACTTAAATGAGTGAGTGCACTGAAGGGATGCTGTTTTATTTGAGTTTTGCTGGTTGATAATCTTCTTGGACGGATTTGATTTTACACTTCTTATTATTAATCTTAATTTTATTAATTAAATTCTTAATATTTATTTTTAT